TATCGCTGTTATGATGACATTTTCTCCAAGGTGGTTGCCAGATGCCATCACGACCTTTCTCAAAACATGAGGGAAAGTTGGTATCTGCTGGAAAGATATCTGCTCCATATCCGGAAGCTTGTCAGTCGGAAGCTAAATAATTCAATAATACAGTCCATGATGGGTTTCCACAGGTAGGAGGAATCCTACAGCGACGTCACATTTAGGGAGATCTCGCTGGGGCCTCCAGATGTAACAGAGCGAGTCCCCAGAAGGATCACTGAGCCAATTAGCCGAATTAACAAAGTTTATTTTGAGTTCGAACCTGGGCTCCTGCGTGCTGACACAGCAGCATCCACCCGAGAGCCGGGAGAACTTTTTTTTTTTACACACAGGTTCAGATTTAGGGTGAATTTTGGTTATCTTCCATATCTTTTTTTAACCCATGTTTTGTCTTTAATTTTCCCTCAGCCCCCACCTCTGCTGCTCATCTTTAATCAACATCTTTTCTTACTCAGTCCTCTCCCTAAATCTCTTAGTCTCTTTCTGGCCTAGGGGCATGGGTTGTGGAGAATCCCAGGCCTGAGCTTCCATCTGCTCTTTCCTGGAGCCCAGGGGAGGTGAGGGCAGGAAGGCACAGGAGAAGAGCAGGGCATCCTAGCACTGGGGAAGAATGGGCCTCTTGGAGCCCGAGCACTACCCTTCTCTTCCCCACTACTCCTGGACTGGGCCACTTCAGGGGGGCAGCAGGTTACCACTTGGCTAATACTGAGAATATAAGAATGACAAGCAAAATTTCTAGTCAGTTTTGTGTCTTAAAAAAAAGGAACCAATATATTATTACACAGCCTTTGTTTATTTTTTTGCTGTAGACTTCAACAGCCTGAGTTCTCAAAAAGCCAAGTTTTATGATCTTAGACAAATGAATTTCTCTAACCCAGTTTTCACACTTATTAAATGAGTGTAGGCATGTTGTCTGCCTCATAGGGTTATGAGTTGATACATGTAAAGTACTTAGATCAGTTGTTATGTGCCATCGAGTCGCTTGCGACTCACAGCGACCCTATGTACAAGAGCCCTAAATGCCGTTCTATCTTGTGCCAACCTCGCTGTCTCAAACACACTCATTCCCACCACCCCAATCACAGAATCGATCCATCTCATCAAGGGTCTTCCTCTCCTGCGCCGACCTTCCACTCTCCCAAACATGATGTCCCTCTCCAAGGACCAGTCCCTCCTTGTAACATGCCCGAAGTATGTCAGAGGAAGCTTCAGAATCCTTGACTCCAGGGAACATTCTGGCTTCACCCTCTCCAGGACAAACCTGTTTGTTCTCCTAGCAGTTCTCCTAGATCAGTAGCTGGTACCAATTAAGGTTAACAGTGATGAATCAGATATATACATTTACTAAAAAATGTAAGATATTTAAAAATACTTGTTCACTTAACATTATATTGAAGTTGAGATGTAAAACATCTCTTTAGTGGCTGCATAGAATTTCACTGCCAGTTAATATAAGTAATTTTGTATTTTGTGCTGCCAATCCAAATAACATGATTTGAATCCACCAAGCTGCTGCAGAGGAGAAAGATGGGCAGTCTCCTCCCATGCAATTTACAGTCTCTGAAAACCCACTAGAGGGTCAGCTATTAATTGGTTTCAACTTGATGAAACATAGGTGTCGTCGAGATCTGTATGACTCATAGGAACCCTATGAAAATAGACCTGAACCCTGTCCTGTCCTGCACCATCCTCATCGTCTCTGGCACACCATGCCCATTGCAGCAGTCACAGTGTCAGTCTATGTGGTTGAGGATCTTCCTCCCTTTTGCTGTCTCTCCACCTTCCCAAGCATGATGTCCCTGTCCAAGGAATAACCCTTCCTAACAATGCCCAAAGTATGTGAAGTGATTCTTTATCATCTTTGCCTCCAAGGAGCACTCTGGCTTCACTCCTTCCATGACATAACTCTTTTTTCTTTTGATAGTTCATGGGATATTCAGCACACTTCTCCAATGCCACAGTTCAGTTATTCTTCTATCATATTTATTCTTTGTCTAGCTCTTAGATACCTAGCAACTAATTGGAAGACTATGGTCTGAATCAGGTATACCTTGGTCTTCAAACTAACGTCATTGCTCCTCAATAACTTGGACAGGTCCTTTACAGCAGACTTGCCAATGCAATATAGCTCCTGACTACTGGTACCAACTTTGTTGATTGTGGATCCAAGTAAATGAATTAATTGACAGTTTTAATCTGTTCTCCACCTATCATGATGTTGCCTATTGGTTCAGTGATGAGAATTTTTGTTTTCTTGATGTTGAGATAGAATCCATAATGAAGGCTGTAGTCTTTGATCTTCTGCAACAAGCGCTCTAAGTCCTCTTCTAAGTCCTTTAAGCAAGCAAGATTGTGTCATCTGCATAATACAAGCTGTTGATGAATCTTCCTCCAAACCTGATGCCACATTTTTCTTCATATGTGAAAACCGAGAAATTTCTTTTTTAAATTGTGATTTTAACAAAAGTTTAGAGAAAAGTTGAATTTGCATTCATTCACTGTTGCACATTTTCCTCCCTACTCCACCCCAGTTCACTACTTTTTCTTCCCAGTTTACTTTTTTTTTTTAAAAAAAAAAGTCATTTGTTGTTGCATAATTTCCTTTCTCCTGCCTTGCCCTTCCCTCGTCCACTTTGCTATGCACCTCTTATTCTAGGCTCCTGTAATAAAAATAATGTGTAATCATGGATTCTTTTTTTTTTTGGTAATCATATATTCCTTTTAAACAGTTCTTTCCTTCATCTGTTCCAATGCAGTGTTCATTATTAATTCTCCCTTTTCGTAGCTTCCCCCCAACCCTCATGTCCATCCTGTCTTATAACAGTGGTGTTATGCAGTATTTGTCCTTTTGTGACTGAGATATTTCACTCAGCATAATATCCTCCAGAGTCATCCATGTTGTATAATATTTTATGAGTTCCTTGTTTTTCAGTGCTGTATAGTATTCTATGTGTGAATATACATAGTGGTGTTATGCAGTATTTGTCCTTTTGTGACTGAGATATTTCGCTCAGCATAATGTCCTCCAGAGTCATCCATGTTGTATAATATTTTATGAGTTCCTTGTTTTTCAGTGCTGTGTAGTATTCTATGTGTGAATATACCATAGTTTTTCTATCCATTCATTTGTTGATGGGGAGAAATTAATTTCTTAAAATCATCCAGCTGCTTGGATGATTTACTCAGCATACAGATTGCATAGGTTTCTTCTAACAACACATAACAACAGCAAAATACAGTACTACTTATTGCCATCCAATTGATTCTGAGTCAGGGCTACCTTGTGTATTACAGGGTAAAGACTGTGCTCCATTGAGTTCTCATAGCTGTGAGCTTTTGAAAGTACATTTCCAAGACTTTTTTCTCAGGAGCTTGTGAGTGCATTGAACCATCACCTCTGATTAATAGCTGCTACCTTAACTCCTTATCCCACCCAGGGAGTCAGTCTACTATACTAGTGAGTATTTAAGTGGTCTTTATATTGACTGATTGTTTTCCTTTACTGTGGAGAGGAGACTGTAGAATATAGATAAAATGGAGTTGAAAACAATTAGTTTGAGAACGTAGGTAGGCTAGCATCCTGTAGAGATAATGTTAGATTGAAAATTAGAAACCTGAATTCTAGTTCCGTTTTCCTCTTAATTTTGTGAGTCCTGGTAGCATAGTGCTTAATGTGCCAGTCTGCTGATGGAAGGGTCTGTTTGAATCTACCAGCCAGGCATTCTGTAGGAGAAAAGTGAGCAGTCTCTTCCTGAAAAGATACACAGCCTCAGAAACCTGCTGGAGGGTAACTGTGAGTCAGTATCGACTCACAGCAATGGGTTTGATTTAGTGGAGTTTACTCGCAGAGTGCCGCCATAGAGATAGATCCTGGAAATCCTTACGGGCCAGCTTTACTCTGTCATGGATGGTCAGCATGAGGTGGAATTGACTCAATGACACATGACCGTGGCAATAATAGAAAACAATCAAGTTGAACTAAATAATCTCTTGGGTCCTTTCCAGGCCTACTTCCTCATATTTTTGTTGTTGTTGATTGCCTTTGAGTTGAGCATGACTCATAGTGATCCTATGAACAAAAGGCCTAAAGCCCCTCTATAACTATTGACATTTACCAAAGTTCATAGCGTTTCCGGAGGCATGTTGTTTAGGAAATGGGTCCCACACCTGCTTCCTAACCTGTCATAGTATGTTACTGTTGCTATGTGCTGTTGAGTTGCCTGTGATGTATAGCAACCCTTTATGCAGCAGCTCTGAACCCTTCCCTATCCTGAGCCACTCTCACTAATTCTGACCCACCAACCCCCATTGCCCTAGTTACTGTACTAATACTATACTAATTTATAAGAATGTACTCAGGGAAACTTAAGTTCAGGACAGATTTGTGTTGTTTCAGCTCCTTGTTACGTTTTTGATGATACTACATTCTTTACTTTTCAGCATGGCTGCTTGCTGTTTCTGGGATGCAGACACGGACAACTACATTCATGATGTTTTTATGAATGTAAGTTTGCTTGAATTTTTTTTTTTACCTTTTCTAGGAAACATGGAAATTTCAAATAAATGAATCAGTGTTTTATTAAAATATAAAGACACATTAGTTTTCAACGTTTGTCTTCAAATCCTGAGTGAGGTGATTTAACTGTTGCTTCTGTGTATGTGTTGCTCAAGCCGAAATTTAGGGGACCTGTGTGTATACAAATGATGTACATCTTCACAGGTCCGAATTTGGGAAGGTGGATTGACCTGTAACAAATGATAATGAAGATAACAGTTTTGGGTAGTGTTCAGATCCATTATTCATAGGATTGCTATGAGTTGTAGTTGACTTGATAGTACCTAACAACAGTAGATACATAGGGAACTTTGTTGGTGTCATCAGTAGGGAGCTGTGTTGCTAACCATCCCCAAAGAATTCCCTCTCTGGTGGGTCAGATCTACCAGGAGCTCCTCAGGAGAAAGAGGGGAAATCTCCTGTGCAATTTGTTGTTGTTGTTGTTAAGTGCTGTCAAGTCGCAGGCGACACATAGCGACCCTATGAAGAAGAGTCCTTGATGCTTGGGTGCCTTTCATCCTCTCTCCAAGTTCATAGGGTTTCCGGAGGCAAGTTATTATGGAAGTGGACACCACTCCTGCTTTCAAGCATGTTTTCATCAGGGAGCTCCACCCCACTCTCAGTCCGCATTGGGTAGCCAACCATTAATGCATTTGACACATCTGTGTCACAGTGTTCAGCCTCACAGCAACCACAAGTGACCGCGGGACGGCAACTTGTACACCAGGGCTATAGGACCTAGAGGAATGTCTGAACAAAAACAATGAAAGACTGGCCTGAGAGCCGCGAACTGAAAGTCACTCACCTTTGTCTTGGTCACATCATTTTCTCTTCACTGGGCCAACTGATCTCTCTCTCTCTTTCTCTCTCTGTTGATGTTATTGTTGTTAAGTGCCGTCGAGTCACAGGCGACTCATAGCGACCCTATGAAGGAGAGTCCTTGACGCTTGGGGGCCTTTCATCCTCTCTCCAAGGTCATAGGGTTTCCGGAGGCAAACTATAGCCTCCGAAAACCTGATGAAAGGTCAGCTCTAAGTCGCTTCTGACATGACAGTGACGAGAGAGAGATCTAGAATCAATACATGGTACTTTGCTAAGCTGCAAAGAAATTGGGTGGCTGGGATTCCATAAGCAAAGCTGATTTTTCTTTTAGAACTGAAATTACTTCATTTCAAACTCATTTCTCAAAAGTGAGCAAAAATAAGGAGGGATCTTTAAACTTAGGTTTCAGTGCACCACCATGGAAGTCAGCAAGAACAAGCTCCTCACGAAAGGTGGCAAAAAGACAGTGGTTGATCCATTTTCTAAGAAAGATTGATATGCTATAAAGGCACCAGCTATTGTCAATACAAGAAATATTGGAAAGACACTAGTCACAAGGACTCAAGGAACCAAAATTGCATCTGATGACTCAAGGGTTGTGCTTCCGAAGTGAGCCTTGTTGATTTGCAAAATGATAAGGATGCATTTAGAAAATTCAAGCCGATTACTGAGGATATTCAAGGCAAAAACTCCCCCATCAATTTGCATGGCATAGATCATGACAAAATGTGCTCCCTGTCAAAAGATGGCAGACCATGATTAAAGCTCATGTTGATGTCAAGACTACCGTTGGTTATTTACTTTGTCTGTTTTGTGTTGGTTTTACGAAAAAACACAACAGTCAGATTCAGAAGACATCTTCTGCTCAGTACCAACAGGTCCACCAAATCCAGAAGAAAATGATGGAAGTCATGACCCGAGATGTGCAGACAAATGAAAGAGGTGGTCAATTCATTGATTCCAGACAGAATTGGGAAAAACATAGAAAAGGCTTGCCAGTCTATTGATCCTCTCCATGATATATTTGTTAGAAAAGTAAAAATGCTGAAGAAGCCCAAGTTTGAGTTGGGCGAACTCCTGGAGCTTTATGGTGAAGGTGGAAGCTCTGGAAAAGCTCCTGGAGATGAGACAGGTGCTAAAGTTGAACGAGTTGGTGGCTGTGAACCACCAGTTCAAAAATCTGTTTACAATTCAGACTTTTAATAATGACAAATAAAAATTATTTGTGAAAAAAATAGGTTTGGTTGGAACATTAGCAGTATGTTACCACTCTATATCATAGTTTAATCACATGTTACTTTATATTTTCCTTCAGAAATTATTCCATCTGTTGTAGGAGAAAAAAAACCCAGTAACTACTCCAGTTACTAAAAATCAAGAAAAAGTAGTTGATTCATGCATGCTGTTGTTGGTGTTAGGTGCCACTGAGTCACATGCGACTTGGGGCATGGTGAAGAAAAGGAAAAAGAAAGACTGATAAGAGTGGGAGAATTGGACCACCAGCAAGCCAGATAACCCCAAACTCCTGAAGGTTACATTTTACAGAAATGTTACAAAAATTATGCAAAATTACCCTATTAAAGTTCCATTTACATCAAGATGATAAAAAAAGAGGGGAGTCCCTCTGGTTTTCTGGCTTCTTAGATAAGAGACTTTTTTTACTCTTTTGTGCGCGTGTACCATCAAATCAGATCTGACTGGTACAGGAGGAGATTTTCCCTCCTTCCCCGGCAGAGCATCTGGTGGGTTCGAACCGTGCGCCTCTGGGATTGTAGTTGCAGTTCCTTGCCACTAGGCCACCAGAGCTCCCCAGATAAGAGACCTTTTAATATGAGTGGCAGCCTCATGTCTTCATCTTTGTAGAGACCAGGATATTCTAATAACACAGAAAGAGGAGATGCACAACAGGTGTTACAAGAGGGGATAGGGAACCCGATAAAGCCATCTAGTCCCAGTTGATAGGATGTAGAGACGTAAAGAAGCAGATCACAAACTTTGTTTTTAGGTATTACTTTGCTTTTAAGATGTTAATGCTAATGGTGCATAATAAAATAGCTTTGACAGTAGATGGATAAAACTCACAAATTGACAGCCTGATGGTTTCTGTGAATTTGCTATTGGATTTCAGAAGTGGTTCAGTATTCAACAGCTATTGTTGCCTGTAGTATATATGGTTGTTTTATCTTAAAAAATCTCCTCTACCAAATGCTCACAGGCTATGAATTTGTAGTTAGTATCAGAATGAAAGTAAGAGTTGAACAGAAACTGGGTTGACTAGATAAGAAGAGAATTCCCTTGCTAGCTCTGCCACTTTCTAATGGAATGACTTAGGGAAGTCATTGGACTTTTTGGGGCTCAGATTGTCTTTCTACATTAGGAAGCTGTAGTAGATCATCTTAAAGATTGGCTGTGGGTGCCTAACAATAATCTTTAGAACTTGTTTAAAATAACAAATGCTAGAACCCTACTTAAGTAGATTCTGATCAAATAAGCCAAATCAGCAAAGCAGAATTTTTAAGGTCTCTGCATGATTCTATTGTCCTTCCAGGTTTGGAAGCAGATTATTTTGACTATCTTTAGGTACCTTTTAATCCTGAAATTCTGTAGTCCTTGTAATTCTAAAATTCTATGGTCCAAAGTTTCATTATACTCAACTACTATGCATCAGAGAGCTGGACAATGACTAAGGATGACAGAAGAATTGATGCCTTTGAGTTATGGTTCTGGAGGAGAGTCTTGAACATACAGTGGACTACCAAGAAACAAAGAAGTCTGTCTTGGAGAGGGTGAAACCATATTTCTCCTTGGAGGTTAGGATTTTGAAGTTTCGTCTCACATACTTTGGACATGTGGCAAGTGGGAACCAATCCTTGTAGAAGGACATCATGCTCGGAAGGGTGGAGGGACAGTATAGGAGAAGACCTCGCATGAGGTGGATTAATACAGTAACTAAAGCAATAGGGGTAGATGTGTTGGAGTCAGTGAGACTGGCTTAGGACAGGGCAGGCCTCAGAGCTGTTATACAAGCAACTCGATGGCACATAACACCAACACCAATTCTACAAGGGATCAAGGACTGAATGATGAGAAGTACTATGCAGATCTTCATTCATGCACTTTCTTTGTGAGAGATCATGCTGATCCTTCTTGGAGTTAAAAATACATCAAGTATTTCCCTGAGTTCTTAAAAAAATTCATCCATTTAATAAATACTTCTGAGCTCCTTTTACTTGCCAGCCTCTCTTTTCAAGTTGTGAATAATAAAATAATAAATAAGACAGACATGGTCGATCTGCCTTCAGAGAATTTATAATCTAGTGAGGGGATACGCTATACTCAAATGAACAATTACTAACTTGAGGTATCTATTATTCTAATAAGAATTAAAAGAACTTCATTTAAGAACACAGGCTTGTTGGGACATATGGCTAACAATAATTTTTGTGAGCCTAGTTTTGGTTGCTGACAGTCTCTTTAAGTCCAGTTTGTTGGGTTCGATATTAGTATTTGATTTTCAGAGCTGAAAGTAACTTTGCTTATTTGAGAGAAGATCCCAGGAAGCCACTAGAAATGAGATGAAGACCAGAAAGGCATCCATTATTGAGCAGATTATTGCTGTAGGGAACTAGGACTCAGCTCCATTGAAAAGCTCTGGGAGGCCGTGGTGAATATGTCACTCAAACTGTGGCCACGGTGGCAGTCTGTGAACTGCTTTTACAGGTTTAGGTACATGAAAATGTGTAAACAGAGTCTAAGGGTTTAGAAACTTTCAGAGCAATCTGACAAAGCAATTTTATTTGCTCATTAAATCTAATTTTGAAAATGGAATTGTCTTTTGGATAGTTTTAAAAAAATTTTTCAAATATTTCATTTTTAGTGTACTTTACAAAACCATCAGTCAGTGAAAGATTAAACATGAAAAAAAAACAAACACCCAAAACAGAACAGGTCTTTCCCTACCTGCATCACTGTTGTAGAACATAGCTCAGCTCTAAAGAGATGGGGAATTGAGCTAACCACAAATTTGACTTTTGTTTAAGATTCTGGTACTTGAGTTCAAATGATTTCCTTCTATCTCTATCATGTTAGAGCTCAGGTTGGTGAATCAGGAATTGCTGAGGTTGGTGGAACTCCTAAAATAATAACTAACTAAAAACATCTTTTTAGCAACTTTAAGTGGACTCAGAGAGGCTGCCTCAAGATAGGGCAGGATTCAGAGCTATTGAACATAGGGTCACTGTGAGTTGCAGGTGACTCGATAGCACATGACAACAACAAACTAAAATATAGACTCAGAAAACCCAACCCACACCGCTGCCATCAAGTTGATTCTGCCTCACAGTCACCCTCAAGTACCCAGCAGAGCTGCCATTGGGCTCCCCAGGCTGCGTCTCTTTCTAGAAGCAGACTGCTTCATCTTCCTCCTGCAGAGCAGTTCATGGGTATGAACCACGTACCTTTCAGGTAGCAGCCAAGCACTTAAACTACTTTGTCACCAAAGCTCTTTAAAAGATGGACATGAATTTTATCAGTTAAGAACACACACTCAGAGACTATTTACCCGTCTCCAGAATTTATGACAGGATGCTGCTTTGCTGTACTGTGATACTACAGTATATTCCCTAGGGTTGCCTAATGCTCTTAGGCCAAGAAGCTCAAAGTATTTCACAGATTATTATATTTTCTGTGATAAATTGCGGGAAATGGAAAGAATTGTGTTTTATCCATTACATAAAATTCATTAGTTTGCATTTTAGTCTTGAGCTTCAAAAATTCAACTATTTGCCCTACCCTTTTAGCTAGCAATTTTGTAACTATTCTTAGGCAAGCAGCTTTATAGATATACACAGGACAGTTGTGGGTTTTTTCCCTAAGGAAAAGGTATTTATGATTTAAAGTTGGTGAAGGTCTGGGATGGCTCAGTGTCGACTGCCTCATTATTATTAACCTTCTGGATCTGTGTGTATGTGTGCGTACTTTGTTTATTTTTCAGGACAGTTTATTCTGTGTTGTCGCGGCATTTGGATGTTTCTTCTATTGAATCTTTGAAAAGCTGAGAAAAGATACAAAAAGGAAGAATGACAGACTTTTTCACATTATTAACTACTTTGATAAAATAAAGATAAGCTGGCAGTTTGTCAACTGCTAGGACTTAGGCTTTGATTTTTTTAAATTAAATTTTATTAGTTTTAATGAACATTTACAGAGATTTTGGGTTTTCATTCATTCATTGTTGCACTGTTTTCTCCACCCTCCTCCCCAGTTCGTTATTCTTCCCCCCCCAAGGCCGGTTTAAATGGCCAATTGCCACAGTGCTTGTCAAAGCCAGTTCTGATTAATCTCCTTTGTCAGTGTGTCCCTTGCCATTCCCTATCACTCCTCCCTGAGAGAGACTTCACCCTGATTCATAAGGAAAAGGGGATGGCGTATTCTCTTAGCTACTTCCTGCTGAAAAGGGACGCTGTGGGTTTCAGGGTGAATGTCTTCTCTCACTACTCCAAAGGGCCCCTTGGCAGTAGGAAACACATAGACTATTATGGAGATTGATTTTGGAATTTAGATGCACTGTTATCAGTTGTGCTTAGCTGTACATGTTCATATCCTTGAAGATGTATCATGGAAGTGTTGCAGCCTAGAAGATACAAATTTAACTAACAAGTTAAAAGTGCATGAGTCAAAAATTGAAAAGCAATAATATTCTGAGTAGAGGTTCTAATAGTGGCACAAATCAAGTTACAGAGGTAAGGTGGTTCCATTGCCATCCTTACTCTAACTTAATTCTTTTTTTTAATTTAAATTTGTTATTAAGGCTTTGATTTTTTTATGATACATTCTTACTACATTTGAAAAATAGAGGGAAATCTAGAATTCAGTGTCTCATATAACCAACTGTACATATATTTACAAATATTGTTATTTTTATTTATAGGATAAAAAATAATAAAAGATAAAAATTTGTTCCCTGATTTTTTCACTTCTCATGTTATAAATTATTTTTCCATCATTTTATTTGTACTATTATTTCCATAAGTATAATTTAATAGTTTTTATTTATTCTATTAGGTTATTCCATTGGTTATTTTTCCATATCCTTTTTCTTTATACTTTAAAAAAATTTTATACTGATTTATTTGTAAAGTTCTAATACATTGTGTTTGACACAAGATCTTTCTGATTTCCTTCATCTGCCCTGTCAATTTGTGCAACCCTGTGATTAATACACACACACCCCTCCGCCCATCCTTACCCCCCTACTTCCACCCTCCTTCCCCTGCCTTGATCCTCATACTTATTCTACAATAATGGTTTTACATAGTATTTAGCCTTATGGGACTGAGTTAGTTAACTCAGCATAATGCTCTCCAGTCCCTCCAAGTTAGGTAATAATTTACAAAATCATTGCTCCTGTGTGCTGCATAGTAGTCCATTGTGTGAATGTACCACAACTTCTCAATCCATTCATTTGTGGTTGGACATCTGGGCTGTTTACCATGTTCTTGAGATGGTGATTAACACTGCTATGAACATTGGTATACATGCTGTATCCTTTTTGAGAGGTGCTTATTTTTTTTGTTGTGATTAAGTAATACTATTTTTGCCGGTTTTTTCCCTTTATTTTGAATTGTTTTTCCTTTTCATTCTTTCCCCTCACTACATTGTGTTTGCTTACTTACTGCCACCTTACATCCTTGCACAGCTCACTAGCTAAACATCAATCTCTCCAGAGTTTTTCCACAGTGGCAGGATGAAGAGGTCCAACGTGGTGTATGAAATCAAACCAAACCAAACCCATTGCTGTAAAGTTGATACTGACCCATAGCACATAGTAGAGCTGCTCCACAGTGTTCCATGACTGTAAGACTTTATGCAAACAAACTGTCACGTCTTTTCCCCACAGAACAGCTGGAGTGTTTGAATTGCTGAATTTTCAGATATTAGTCTGGATCTTGTCACTGTGCTACCAAGGCTCTCAGTTTATGAAAGAAGGCCTCTTTAAGACTCTAAAGGGCATTCTGGTGGAGTAGTCCATCGCGTGTTATGACACTAACCAAAAGGCTGCATCTCCAGTGCTTTGAAGCCACCAAATGCTCTCAAGGAGAAAGATGCACAATCTCTTCCTGTTACTATTTACAGCCTCAGAAACCCAGTGGTTTCTATAATCTCAACGACAGTAGTTGGATGACTTTTTGAAGACTCCTAAGTCCTTATATTGGCTACTCTCTAAATTCTTTTCATTTTTGCATTGACTATTTCCTTAGAGTTCCTGTTATCTCCTCTCCAGTTACCTGACCTTATTTGGGCACATCACTTTATCAGGCATGTCTAAACAGTTATGTGACACTCAAAAAAAGAAAAAGGCCAGAATTTAAATACTTTCCTCCCTCCTTGGGGACTCCTGAATTACAAGGAGTTTACACAAGGTTACCCACTGTCTTAGCTGGGATTCTCTAGAGGAGTAAAATTAATGAGATGTATACATAGAAATACTAAGGAAATGTACTTGAAGGAAATAGCTCACACAAGCATGAGAATTCAGTAAGCCAAGATTTGCAGTGCAGGGAGAAGGTTTATGTCTCAGGAACTGGAGGAGGTCAGGTGATGAGTGTAGAGTCAAGAAATGAATTTTTACCCAAATATGTACTAGAGACATACCATATCCCCAAGGAAAGTCTCCTTTCAAAGATTGACAACTGATCTTACCAGTCTACCACATCATGGCAGGAGATTCAGTTATAGTACTCGGTGGAAGAGCAATCAACCTAGTATCTGCTAAAACATGAGAACGACAGCCTGGTCAAGTTGACACAAAACATTTATCATGCCATCTTTCTTTTCTATGTTCAAACATGTAGGCTAAAAATGAAAAATTGCAGGCATTAGGCTTGGAGGAAGACTCCTCAGCAACCCGCATTATGCAGAAGACACATTCATGCTTCCTGAAAGTAAGGAGGACTTGACACAAAGATTGCAGCCTTCAGTATGGATTACATGTCAGCAACAAGAAAACACGAATTCTCACCACTGGACTCAGGCAACATCGTGCTAGATGGAGAAAAGATTGAAGAAAAAAATGGAGAAAACTATTTCCTCTTAACTTGTATCCACAGTCAACATCCAGGGTAACAACAGTTAAGAAATCAGAACATATGTTGTATAGGGAAAATCTGCTGTCAAGGACTTCTCCAGTACCAAAGAGCAACTATGTCAGTTTAAAGACTAAAGGTGTACCTGCTTCACGCTGTGGTCTTTTCAATTACTTACTAACATCTGAAATTTGAACAATGACTAAGGGTAACAGAAGAATCAGTTGGTACTCTTGAGTTTTGGTGCTGGAAAATAATACTGAATTTCCCATGAAAATATTTATGAACAAATAAGGTTGAATTACACAAAGTGCAACTATGGTGCTCCTTAGAGGCAAGGATGGTTAAACTGTCTCACATACTTTAGGCATATTATTAAGAAATGTTTGTCCTTGGAAAAAGATATGCTAGGAAAGGTGGAAGGTCAGAGAAAGAGAGGAAGACCTCCAACAAGATGGATTGACACAGTGACTGTAACAGTTGGCTCTAGCATATCAGAAATTAAGATGGCTCAGAATAGAGCAACATTCAAATCTGTTGTTCAAAGAATTGGTGAGTTACAGGCGACTGGAACACACCTAACAAAAAGAAGTGGGGAAATCCCCTTTACATTCTCACATAACATTAGGTAGTTACTTGCATTACATCCACAGTTTCAAAAGGGACCCTTTCAAATGTTCATTGTAGCAAAATAGATTCTCCCTACCAGACCCTGTCACGTCTTATTGTTACAGCCACAGAACTGGTCAACCCCACCAACCAGACCCAGCCAGGAACTGCTGCCAACATTCTACTTTTCCCTCTCTCCTTCCCTCTCTACTCCTGTTCAGCCTTTTAACTCCTCAGGACTAACCTCCTAATTAAAAAAAAAAATCTTATGCAACTAAATTATCACTCTCTTCCAACCCTTACCTGAAAATAAAACATCACCTCCCCTCCATCTCTGATCCCAATCTGTCAGATAATCTCCCATGCCATCCTCCCGCAGGAATTCATACCAAAACATACAGGCAAATCTACCAAACTCCTCCATCCTCCCCTCTCTCAAGTAACACTTGCTAGAGCTACAGGGAGTGGCAG